GGCCGGCCCGGGGCTCGGGCGGATCAAGTGCTCTGATGCCCCATCTCCCATGCCAGGGGTCCGCGATGGCCCGCCCAGGACCCTCGGAGTAGAAGCAACCACCCCAGCCGGGCCCGATCCCAACGCCTGCCCACGCGAACCTTCCTCCACCTGCACTCGCCTTGCCTCTTCGCGACAGTCCGGTTCACTGGGAGACAGCAACTTCCGGTTCCCGCCGGAAGCGGAAACCCCTCCCCTCCTCCTAAGTACCGCCCCCCGCCAGCCGGGACCGCCCAGAGATGAAGCCCGGGAAGGTACAGCCTCAGAAACCCGCAGAGAGAGCTCGTTGGCATCAGCTCAGTGGCAGTGTGTCTGGTGTTTTTGGTACGATCATTATCCCCTCCATCCACCCACCGCATTTGAGATGAGCCCAACAATGGATACAAACATGGCACCTAGGGCCGTGCCTGGAGCATTGCCTGAGGCAGACGCCTTACACGGCGGTTCTCAACCTGTGGGTCGCGACCCTTTCACAGGGGTCGCCTAAGACCATCGGAGAACACATACATTTCTCACAATATATAACTACATATTGTTTTGTGATTAATCACGATGCTTTAATGATGTTCAATTTGTAACAATGAAAATGCATTGTTACAATTTGTAACAATTTGTAACTATGAAAATGCATCCTGTATATCAGCTATTTACATGACGATTCATCACAGTAGCAAAATGACAGTGATGAAGTAGCAATGAAAATAATGTTCTGGTTGGGGGTCACCACCACATGAGGAACTGTATTAAAGGGTTGCGGCATGAGGAAGGTTGAGAAAACCGCTGCTTTACAAGATATGCTGCAAGTTCCCAGGAAACACCCTCACCACTCATTATTGCTTCTAGATCTCTAATTTGACTTAAGACACAGCAAATCCCTAAAGGTGAAGTGCACATGTTGACCCAGGAAGAGATGTGATTTACTCCTAAAGAACAGCTGGAGTTTTACAAGAATGAAAAAAATGTTCGAAAACGGATTGTGGCAATGATTGTACAACCCTTCTTGATGTAGTTGAATTATTGAATCGTATGATATGTGAATTATATGCCAATAAAACTGTTGGGGAGTGGGGGGTTCCTGGAGTTTCCTAATTTGTACAGACAGAAACCTGGAGAATATATGGGGGAAGGATTTGTAAGGGTGGGGATTAATAGTGCAAAGAACATAGCATGGATCCGCCTGAGTTTATCGACATGGACCCACTAAACACAGGAGAGGATCTAATCATTGATTTGTTAGCTCAGTGAAGCAGGGTTTGCAAGATGGACTACGCTGAGTTAAACTGAAGTACCAGACATACCTACCTTGGTATACTAAAGAAGAAGGTATTAAAAGTCTTTCCAAAAAGGCTTATGGAAATTGGCATGTTAGAGTAGTTTTATTGGGATAACCCCCTAGACCCACAAATAGAGTTCCTGAGCACACACATGTTACTAAAGCATCAAATAACAGATTTGGAAAGAGATCCTTAGCATCCTTGAAACTCCTGGGATGTCTATTTAATGTCAGCCAGGCTGCATAATGAACTAAGACACCTGTCTGCTCTAAGGCTGAATGGGCCCCATGGAAGCAGGGGTGAAATGTTAGCACTCAATTAATAACGACAAGATGGGCGTGGGTACTGTAATGAACAGTGTAGTCAAAGTAGTCGTGAGAATAGCCTGGTTCATATGGACCCATGGCATTGGCTACTTAGGCAAGGTGTCCCTAAGGCATAGATGGGAAGCCTATTAAGTATTTACTTGATCTATACATGCAGAAGAATTCGACTTCCAGTGAACGCACAATCCATTTCAAACAGTCAGAAGAGTCACGACCCCCTTCTTGAGGGTATTTACCGAACCATGACCCCTTAAATCAAGGGGAGACCAGGTTTCTTTAAGGAAGAAGGAATTAAGTAACTACACCTAGGGCTTGCCCTGCAAACTTGTGCGGGAGAATACAAGCATGAGCAACCTCACTCAGAATCTCTCAGGACCTTAACCCCAGCAAACACGTAAGAATAGAAATTGCTGATAAAGACGGGCTTGATCTCTGGGTGGCCCAGCTGGTGGTGGGCAGTACTTAAAAGGAGCCGAGGGGTTTCAGCTTCCTCATATTTGGATTTTGTTATTGTCATCTTTGAATTACACAAACTGGTATGCTTCTTCCATGTGGGCTAGTTGACTCCTCACTTAGATGACTGCTTGTTTAAATACAAGCCTTTAAGACCCCAGACACTATTTTGATTGATAGCCAGCCACCATCTGCTTTCTTCACTGCACTTTGCTGTACCACCCTTATCTTCAGTGTCCATTTCATGAAGGTGAATATTGAGCAAGGCCATATTATCAGAACTAGCTGTTCTTTGATTTGGGCTAGAGTTGAGTGGAAGCCCGGAATCCATCTGCTGGTCCACGGGTTAGGGATGACTGGTTTACTCTGGAGGTCCTATTACGACAAAATCAAAATCCCATAAGACCAACCACGCCCACAGGAGCAACAAACCAACCAACAAAGAAACAAACAAAACCAGAAAACAAAAACAAACAAAAGTAGGAAAACAACCCCCCCCAACAAAAAAGAAAAACATTGTCAATCATCCCCCCAGGGTATGAGGTGATTGCATTGATACATCAACAATTTTCCCAAGGACACAACACTCCAGACACTGTCGGTAGGAGGAATCTTTGAGAGAGAGCACAGTTCCACTGTGAGCCACAACCCGTGAGTTGTTTTCCTGCACAATTCCATCTCCCAATCGATTGAACTCTGTTTACCCTGAGCATGGAGATTGGTGCCAGGGGAAAACGTCCTGGATCAAGTCTTTCAAGGGCAGATCCCTGCCCAACAGATCAAAACCTGTCCTATCAATGCAAGGTGGGCATTGAGCTACTCTGTATATGGTGATGCCGGGTCCCTTTCCATTGGACTTGACTCATCTTTACAGAATCAGAGCACCAGACTTGATAGGGTGGGTTTGATCTGCCCACCTTTAATCTAGTCGTCAAGAGCAAACTGTTGTGTCACTCAGGGATCTTTGAGGAAGGGAGAGGCTTTGAAAGGGAAGTCAAAGGTGGTGTGTAGGCCATGACAAGTTTGAGGTAAGTGAAGAGAGACGCCGAGCAGGCCATTTGAAACGGGAGCACAGGGAAAGATTTAGATGTAACGTTGAGCAATGTTCGCATATGGAGGCTATTTGAAGCCCGGTGTAGGAAGGAACACAAAAGGGAGCTGAGGAGAACGACCAGGAGCTCTGTGACCTCAAAAGCTGTTTGGAGAGAAGCCAGCAAGAGACTGGACAGTCAAAAGAGGCGAGTCTTTTGTAATCAGGACCCTGTCCTGATTACATCTTGAAATCAGGGGTCTCAACATGAGAGTGGTCAGCTTGGTGGGGGGTCGGGCAGCGGAGAGGTAGCTGAGCCTTTGGGTCCCCTCCGGTTCCACCGGGTCTATCCCGCGCACAGGGACTCTACAGGACAGGGTAGAACTGCCCTGGGGTTTCTGGGTAAGACGACAGAAAAAAGAAAGGACACGTCACTAGGAATCTTGACGAGATGTGCTTAATTAGAAATAGCCTCCCAGGAAAAAGGATTTAAAGTGAGATGACTTCAAATAAAGTTCGCTGGGGAAAAAAAATAAGGATTTCACTGGGCCATGGCTACACTGTCCCCCAGTGTCCTGCAGGGGGCAGTGTGACCCGTGGGAACTGCCCTTCCGGCTTCCAAGTAGGTACCAGCTTGCAGGCCTGCTGGATGGGATGTGGTCTACTCGTCACCCCCCCCCAAAAAAAATGCACGTTCATCTAAGTCTTGTTTTCAGGATCTGCATACTCACAGTGCCACTCTGCCATAGTCTATTCAAACCATGATCCTTCTGATGGGCAGTTGAGGGGTGTTTCAAGTTTTGCGTCTGTAATGAATGGTGGAGTACAAGTCCTCAGGCCAGCATCCTTTTTTTTTTTTTCATTTTGTTTTTTTAAATTGTTTTATTAGGGGCTCATACAACTCTTATCACAATCCATACATACATCAATTGTGTAAATCCACCCTTCTTTTTCTTTTTTTTAACATTTTATTAGGGGCTCATACAACTGTTATCCCAATCCATACA